TCCTACCCCCGCCTCCACTCCCATCTCGGGATGGATATCTTTGGTAGAGAACACAAACTAGGCTGTACTTTTTCATTATAAAGCCTTCTCCAACGTGTCTCTGTGAATCTCACAGCATATCAGACTCAGCTTAACCAAAACAGAGCTCTGGTTTCCAACGGAAGTCATGGGCCAGCCAGTGGCACAGTGGCTAAGGTGGCTAGATCCCACATCGCTGACTGCACTGTTCAAGTCCTGGATATGGCAGCTTGAAAAACTTGCCAAGTGTGTTTGTGTGTGTCTGTGTGCCTAAAATCCTGAGAGAATGGAGAAGGGATTGTGGCATGACCACTCCCCATGGGAGGAGTGCTTTCTCACATTTCCTCTTGAGAGAGACAGAGAGAGACAGAGAGACAGAAAGTGAGAAATCAACCCCAGAGGGGATGGCCACGCCGCAATCGCTTCTCCTCCATTCTCCTCTTGGGATTTTGGGCACGCACGCACACACACCCAGCGTGAGTTTAAGCCACCGGGTCCAGGACTCAAACCGCGGTCAGCTACATGGGAGTCCAGCGACATAGCCACTACACCAACTGCTGGCCCCCCAAAATGTATTTCTTTTTATGAGTGCAAAAGAGAGACTGAGCAATCACCAGCAGGGCTAATCACAGTGCAATTCTTTTTTAAAATTTTATTTATTAGTAGTAGTATTTTAATTTGCTATAGGGCACATGTACTCACTGGAGAGTGAGAGAGAGAGGGAAAGTGAGAAAGCAAGTTGGCAGGTCTGAGACTTGAACTGAGTCAGCTATGTGGGAGTCCATTGTCTTAACCATCATGCCCCCTGCTGGCCCCAGTGCAATGATTTTTTTTCTAGAATATTCCATCCCTTCAGGACCCTGAGCACATCATGTATCCGGTGTGTGGCTCCTGGGGTTGGATTCGAACCCGGGTCAGCCATGTGGGATCCAGCTTCCTCTGCACAGTGTTAACCTATTGTGCTGCAAGACTGGGTCCCCACAAGGATCACGATGCTGCAATCCAACCTCGACCTCAGCCAACCCTGGATCAAAGGAACACACTGCCCAGCTTATTCAGGGAGGTCTTTTGACACGAACTTGGAACCCTTTCTTGTGCATCAGCCTTGCAGAAAGTCGCTGTGCCACTGACCAGCCTCATTTAAAACCAGCAGATGGTGTAATGCTTTCGTCGCTGGACTTCAACACAGTCAACTGTGGTTCGAGCCCCAATCCCAGTGGCTTAAAATTCATGCCAGTGGTGAGCTGGCAGGTGGTGTGGTGGTTAAGGGTGCTGGACTCCCACATGGTCAACTGCGATTGGAGTCCCGGACCTGGTGGCTTGCTTTCTCACTTTCTCTCTCTCTCATTCTGACCCTCTCTGGTCAAATTAAAGTAAATAAATAAATAAATAAAGTTAAATAAAATATTAAAAAGAAATTCATACCAGGCACGTGTGTGTGTGTGTGTGTGTGTGTGTGTGTGTGCGTGCCCAAGATCCTGAGAGGAGAATGGAGGAGAACGGATTGCGGCGTGGCCATCACCCGCAAGGGGTGACTTCTCACTTTCTGTCTTGCTGGTGAACACATGTGCTCTATAGCAAAAAAAAAAAAAAAAAGAAAGAAAGAAAATAAAAGAAAAGCCTCTCCAGGAATGTTTTGATGTTCCCTTGAAAATAAGCATCCTTCTGTCAAGGCAGGAAGACAGAATTCTGAGAAGTGAATGGACCGTGTGCACACGAGTTTGGCCAAACATCCGCATCTCTGCTGAATGTTCTCCTGTAGCCTGCGTTTGAAAGCACCTGCTGAGTGCCAGGGGCTGCTCTCGGAGCTGGAAACCGAGGGGGGACTGAAAGAGATAAGATTTGGGGCCAGCAAGTGGCGTCGTACTTGGGGTGCTGGACTCCCACATAGCCGACCGCTGTTCAGGTCCGGGGCCTGGCGGCTTGCTTTCTCACTTTCCCTCTCTCTCTTTCATCAAATAAATAATAAAAAATAATGATAAATAAAATTAATTCTAAAAGAAAAAAAAAAGAGATAAAGACCCTATTATCAGGGCTGCCAGATGGCATTGTGATTGTGGCGCTGGAGTTCCACATGACCAACAGAGGTTCAAGTCCCAGACCTGGTGGCCTGGAAAAAAAAATCACAATATATAAATAGATAAATAAATATTTTTAAAAGACCCTATTTTCTTGGAAGTGACATTTGAACGAGGAGAGATGCCATCAGATAAATAAATGCATAACGCTGGAAATGATGTAATTTGGGTTTTTTAAAAAAGAATAATTTTATTTTAATTAGCTATAGAACATGCATTCTCACCAGTGAGAGATAGAGAGGGAAAGTGAGAAAGCAAGTCACTGGGTCTGGAACTCACACTACAGCCACCATGTGGGAGTCCAGCACCCCAATCAACACACCAACTGCTGGCCCCAGAAATGATGCTTTTTTTTTTTTTTTTTGAGCTAGATTTTTGCGATTGGGCATGGGTGCCCCCCAGAGAGACAAAAAGGGAAAAACACTCCGTGGGGGGATGTCCATGCCACAACCCCTTCTCCACTCTCCTCTCAGGATTTTGGGTACATATGCATACACGCCTGGCTTGAGTTTTAAGATGCCAGGTCTGGGATTTGAACAGTGGTTGACTACGTGGGAGTCAAGCGACATAACCATTATGCCATCTGCTGTTCTCGACGATGCTATTGGAAGGGACATGAAGACAGGTAAGTTAAAGGAGGTGATCTGGGAAAGCCTCTTTAATTGCTTGCTTGGTTTTACTATTGAGCTCTCCAGGGAGAAAGAGAGAGAAAGCAAGAAATCCACTCCCCCAAGTGCAGATGGCCATGCCACAATCCCTTCTCCTCTATTCTCTTCTCAGGATTAAGGGCAGGCACGCACATGTGCCCAGCATGATTTTCAACCCACTGGGTCCAGGACTTGAACCGCACAATCAGCCATGTGGGAGTCCAGCGCCCTTAACCACCACGCCACCTGTTGGCCCCTGACTAGGTGGTATTTAACCAGAGACCTAAATGGAGCGGAAATAAATGAACCAGAGGGGTATCTGGGAGTTGGCTGCTCTAGGTGGGGGGACAGCATGAGCAAAGGGCCTCAGGTGGGCTGTGTTCAGCGCGGTCTCATGTATCGCTGTGCGGGACAGTGTGACGTGGGTGTCACTGCTGGGTGTTTGTGCATTTGTTGTGTTGCAATGGGAAGTGACTCACGGGTTGTGGATCTGTGTGTAGGGGTGAAGTGGTGTGTTTGACACTGTGCTTCACAGCGTGTATATGTGTAGGGGTGCGGGGGGTACCCAGCTGTGCCAGTGGGTGTTTGGGGGGATGTTCTGGATCTGTTTTCTGGCCCCAAAGGAAGAGAGAAAGCCTAGGAAATCTCAGTGCGGCCCTGCCCCCTCCGTCTCCAGGCAACAGCAGTACTTTGAAGTTACCAGGAGACAAGGTTGCCAGGGCAACACAGGCATGAGTGGCAGTTCGGGGACGAAGTCTGAGTGAGGAGACCCAGCTAGGGACTTCACCATCAGTCACCTTGTTCCTCCCTCTCTCCCAATTTCTCATCAGTCCCACCTTCTTTAATTCATTGATTTAAGGAACTCCTTATTTGAGAACCTTCAATGAGCTAAGCCCTGTTTGGGGGACTGCAGAGTTTAAAAGCTGTGCCGTCTCTCTCTTTGTCTCCTGCCCTCGCCTCTGGCTTCCGATCCCACCCATTCTCTGTACCACACGCAAAACCCAACCAACCCTCAAGCGAATGAAGAAATAGAGACTCCTAAGCTTGCCTAAGACATACTTCGGTGCCCGATCTCTGTGCCCAGAGCCCAGGGTCAGTCCTCGCTCCATCTCTGAATAGTCACTGAGTGACATTAAGCAAAATGGCACACAGACACACGCCCAACACAATATTCCTCTGAGACATGAGATCCTTTTTACAGGCGAGCAAATTGCAAAATGCGGCTTGGGAGACTTCAAGTAGCATGCCAATGATACGAGCTCCCTCCAACTCGTCAACCTTGCTATGTGTCCGACTTGCTGATTAGAATGATGGTATACGTGCAGCTCCCCCAGCAAACTCCCTCGGTGAAAGTCTGCTCTCTCCAACGCCCCCATTTCTCTAATCTCAAACTAGGTTACCTTTGCCCATTCGCCAAGGGAGGAGCTAGCGAGGGGGGGTGGAGTAATTTTGATGGACAGATCGCGAACCAATGGAAAAGCTAAATGTACTATACCCAATGAGGACTCGGCCTAGGCGTGTGGGAGTCCAGCGCCCTTAACCACCACGCCACCTGTTGGCCCCTGACTAGGTGGTATTTAACCAGAGACCTAAATGGAGCGGAAATAAATGAACCAGAGGGGTATCTGGGAGTTGGCTGCTCTAGGTGGGGGGACAGCATGAGCAAAGGGCCTCAGGTGGGCTGTGTTCAGCGCGGTCTCATGTATCGCTGTGCGGGACAGTGTGACGTGGGTGTCACTGCTGGGTGTTTGTGCATTTGTTGTGTTGCAATGGGAAGTGACTCACGGGTTGTGGATCTGTGTGTAGGGGTGAAGTGGTGTGTTTGACACTGTGCTTCACAGCGTGTATATGTGTAGGGGTGCGGGGGGTACCCAGCTGTGCCAGTGGGTGTTTGGGGGGATGTTCTGGATCTGTTTTCTGGCCCCAAAGGAAGAGAGAAAGCCTAGGAAATCTCAGTGCGGCCCTGCCCCCTCCGTCTCCAGGCAACAGCAGTACTTTGAAGTTACCAGGAGACAAGGTTGCCAGGGCAACACAGGCATGAGTGGCAGTTCGGGGACGAAGTCTGAGTGAGGAGACCCAGCTAGGGACTTCACCATCAGTCACCTTGTTCCTCCCTCTCTCCCAATTTCTCATCAGTCCCACCTTCTTTAATTCATTGATTTAAGGAACTCCTTATGTGAGAACCTTCAATGAGCTAAGCCCTGTTTGGGGGACTGCAGAGTTTAAAAGCTGTGCCGTCTCTCTCTTTGTCTCCTGCCCTCGCCTCTGGCTTCCGATCCCACCCATTCTCTGTACCACACGCAAAACCCAACCAACCCTCAAGCGAATGAAGAAATAGAGACTCCTAAGCTTGCCTAAGACATACTTCGGTGCCCGATCTCTGTGCCCAGAGCCCAGGGTCAGTCCTCGCTCCATCTCTGAATAGTCACTGAGTGACATTAAGCAAAATGGCACACAGACACACGCCCAACACAATATTCCTCTGAGACATGAGATCCTTTTTACAGGCGAGCAAATTGCAAAATGCGGCTTGGGAGACTTCAAGTAGCATGCCAATGATACGAGCTCCCTCCAACTCGTCAACCTTGCTATGTGTCCGACTTGCTGATTAGAATGATGGTATACGTGCAGCTCCCCCAGCAAACTCCCTCGGTGAAAGTCTGCTCTCTCCAACGCCCCCATTTCTCTAATCTCAAACTAGGTTACCTTTGCCCATTCGCCAAGGGAGGAGCTAGCGAGGGGGGTGGAGTAATTTTGATGGACAGATCGCGAACCAATGGAAAAGCTAAATGTACTATACCCAATGAGGACTCGGCCTAGGCGGGACTAAGGCTGGAGACGCGCCCCTGATTGGACGGAGGTACATGGCGAATGGCGGAGACGCTGAGGAGGGTGCTAAACGGAAGCAGCACCGATGGGCCCGGGGAGACCACGACAGCGGTCGGGCCACCTTTGCTGCTGCTCGGCGCTCCAAGCTCTGGGAAAACAGCGCTGCTATTCGCGGCGGCCCTGGAAGCGGCAGGGGAAGGCCGAGGGCCCGTCCTCTTCCTCACTCGGAGGCCTCTTCAAAGCCTGCCCCGCGGGACTGGAGCGGCGCTCGACCCAATGCGGCTCCAGGTACCTGAGGCAGGACTAGAGGCGTATTAGCCAATGGCTGGGGGGGATCGACAATTGAGTGACAGATAACAGGCCAATGGTGGGGACGGTGGAAGGGGTGCTCCGTAACAGCCATGATGGGGCGGAGTCATGGATGCGTGAGGGGCGGGACCACGCGGATATTAGCTAAGATTGAGTGAAAGGCTACCCAATGATGGGGCGGTGTTGGCGAGAGGTGGAGCCCAAAGAGTGGAGTCCGGAGCGCTTTAAGGAGCGAAGCTAAACTTCGTCCTAGTCTGCACGGGAATTGGTTCCAGCGCGGTTAAAGTTAGAGTCACAGTGGGAATACAGGAGGAGAGCTGTCTATGGAAAGGTCACCCTAGAAATTGGGCAAAAAACGTGACATGGTTAGCTCACACCCGGCCATGGTAAACGCTGGAAAAAATAGGATCAATGGAATATTGGACAGCTCTGAGCCGCTTCATCCTAGTGTTCTGGGAGTGAGGGCCTCATCCAGTAGAGCATGCAAAGAAGGAAGTCGGCTGTCGCGGGGTGTCTACGCTTCCTGTGCTGAATTCAGCCTCTTTTCTTTTCCTCCCTCTAGAAAATCCGCTTCCAGTACCCACCCTCAATCCGAGAGCTGTTCCGGCTCCTGTGCTCTGCCCATGAAGTCTCGGGGCCAGTCCCCTCCCTTCTGCTCCTGGACGGCTTGGAGGAGTACCTCCTGGAAGACCCAGGGCCGCAGGAAGCCGCCTACCTGGCTGCCCTGCTTCTGGACACAGCTGCCCACTTCAGCCACCGGCTTGGCGGCAGCGGGGACTGTGGGCTTATGGTGGCCCTCCAGACCCAGGAAGAGGCGGACAGTGGGGATGCCCTTCAGCTGTCACTGCTCCAGCGGTATTTCCCTGCCCAGTGCTGGCTGCAGCCCAGTGCCCCAGGCCCACCTGGGCGTTGCTTCCGGGCCTGCCTGGAGCAAGGTGAGCAGGGCTCCAGGGCCGAGTGGCTGGTGACTTTTCAGCCAGAGGGAGAGATGGCCATTACCTCGTGGCCCACGCAGACTGGCGATCCCAGCTCAGAAGAGGGTGCAAGCTCTGGAGGACCGCCCTGAGCTTGGGTGTCTGACAGCCTCTCTGTGCCTAGTTTCCCACCACTTACCTCAAGGACTTGTGCAGATTCAATAACCTACAGGCTGGAAAGTGCTTTTTCTTTTTTAAAAAATAGCATTATCATGTACATAGCATGCCCACTCGGCATGTTTAGTTTTGCAGTTTTGAATTTCATAAAGAGTCTCATGGTTAGTGGAATCTTCTGGAACTGACTTCTTTTCCCACTGAATATTGTTGGTAAGATTCAGCCACATGGGCCCACTGGTGGTTAGGGCAGCTAGATCCCACATAGCTGAATGTGTGGTTCCAGTCCTGGGTCAGGTGGCTCGAAAAGCTGGCTGGGTAGAGCCAGCAGGTGGCATGGTAATTAAGGTACTGGATTCCCATATAGTTGACCACAGTTCGAATCCCACCCCTGGTGGCCTGCTTTCTCACTTTCCCTTTCTCTGTCTTTTTCTCTGGTGAGCACATATCCCCTGTAGCAAATTTTAGAAAATAATAATGATGGGACCAGCAGTTGGCATAATGGCTATGTCGCTGGACTCCCATGTAGCTGATCGCGGTTCAAGTCCTGGACCTGGTGGCTTGCTTTGTCACTTTCCCTCTCTCCTTCTCTGTCTCTGATGGCAAATTAAACTTGCCCTGTGCCAAATTAAAAAATAATAATAATGATACATAAAATTAAATCATTCTTTTAAAAAAAATTTTTTTTAAAAGGACTTTCCTAGAACCTGGCCTGATTCAGAATGAAGTACTGTGAGTTACCGTTGTTATTATTAGAGGTGCTGGAGGTGTCCTCTCCCTGGGTGTATAACTCAACCCAGTTGAATTATACATATACTGGGTTGTTAGAAAAGCCATGATCTATTTTTCTATGCATTTTTTAAAAAAGAGATTTTTGCTATATGGCAAGTGCACTTGTCAGAGAGACAGAGAGTCAGAATGTGAGAAATCACCCCCCAGGGGTGATGACCACACCGTAATCCCTTCTCCTCCACTCTCCTCTCATGATTTTAGGCATGCAGGCACACACGCCCGGTGTGAGTTTCAGGCCGCTAGGTCAGGGACTCGAACTGCAGTCAACCACTTGGGAGTCCAGTGCTTTAACCACTACTCCACCTGCTGGCCCCACCCATGGACTCTTCTGTTCTTTTGTTTGTCGACTGGCAGGTTGTAGAAGTTCCATCTAAGGGTTCCAAGGTGACTCTAAAGGAACGTGAAGCCACAGACCAGAAGAGTCTTGCTCTTTTGCGTCATCCCAAGGAATGGCTGCCCCTCTGTGTGAATTGACAGATGAGAGAAAAACCACTTTATGTGTTCACCACAGATTGAGGGGCTGTTTGTTACAGCAGCTAGCCAGAACTGATACTGACTATATTTTATTTTGATTACTATTCAGAACGGCCAGGTCCAGAATTTCAGACTGAGCTCGAGGATTTTAACTGCTGCTCCCATGGCCTAGATCCGGGGAAATAGAAGACTTATGGGGTGGGAGTCATGATAAATGTACATATATATATATATTTAAAAAAAAAAAAACTATACATATTTTAAAATACTTCAAGGTCACGACCTCCTGAGCAGCCAGCCAAGGGCAGCCATGTCCCAGGGCAGGCCTCACCACCCCTGTTCGGTAAGTCTGGGGTCAGCACTGGCGCCTGGGGTCCTGTTGAATCCCTGCGTGAGCATCTGTGGGTTAACGTCCTAAGAGCAGCTCACGTAGCTGGGGGCTGTAGGCTCAGGGGCTGGAGCGAGGCCGTTCTCATAAGGGGTGGAGTAGAGACCATCGGGCAAGCCCCCTTGGGCTGCCTGGGAGCTCCCTGAGCTGTAGTCAGTTGAGATACCAGAGTCTGACACCATGAGGTACAGATACTTAAGGTGGGGCGGGGTGGGGGGCAGCTCGGGGCGCAGCGCCCGTGGGCGCAGGAGCTGGGAGCTGGGGTCCAGGATGGTGTACTCAAAGCTGGCAGCTGAGGTGCCCTCTGGTCCAGCCTTCAAGGCCAAGGAAGACGAGCAGGACGCTTCAGAGCCCGCATCCATGGCTTCTCCGTCCACGCTGCGGCCAGACCCCGGGAGGTCCCCGCTGGGCGGGCTCTGGGGCAGCAGCCACTCGTCCAGTACCAGGTAGGGGTCCTGGGCACGCTCCCTGCCCACCGGCTGCAGCAGGGGCTCCTCATCCCCTGCCCCCCGCTCCACAACTTGAGTCACATCCCAGCAGCGCTCAGAGAGGACTTCCAGGGGGGCAGGCGGGTCCTCCGAGAAGGGGGTGCCCGGGCTCCACCACAGACAGCCATCGTTCTGGTACAACCACAGCTGAAGACACACAGCCTGCTCAGAGGCCTGGGCTCCGGCCAGAAGGAGCGGGAAAGCCCCAGGCCCTGACGGGACAACCAGGCCACTTACCTGGAAGTTACCCTTGTGGGTGGTGAAGAGACCCTCAAACTCACTCTCGGGGCTCGGGATGCCCGGCCAGATCTTCTGCTTCAGAGCTCTGTGGAAGCCAGTGGAAACAGGTGTCTGGCTGAGACCCATAGAATACACACCAGGGCCACCTCAACACCCAGGTACAGGGCACGGGTACTCCTGGTCCCCACGGTCATGTTCAAGGCATCAGACCTGGGATCAACAGCTTTGCCTAAGGCATCAGTAAGTCCCTACAGAAGGATAACGGATAGAGTTTCAAAAAAAAGAAGAAGGGGGACCAGCCGTTAGCGTAATGGCTAAGTCCCTGGACTCCCATGGAGCCGACCATGGTTCGAGTCCGGACTCGGTGGCTTAAACTCACGCCGGGCACGTGTGCGTGCGTGCCCAAGATCCCAGGAGGAGAAGGGATTGCAGCGTGGCCATCACCCCTTGGGGGTGATTTCTCACTGTCTGTCTCTGTCTTTCTGGTAAGTGCACACGCCCTGTGGCAAAAACCTCTCCAGAAAAAAAGATTAAAAGTCTAAATTTGGTTCGAGTCCGGACTCGGTGGCTTAAACTCACGCCGGGCACGTGTGCGTGCGTGCCCAAGATCCCAGGAGGAGAAGGGATTGCAGCGTGGCCATCACCCCTTGGGGGTGATTTCTCACTGTCTGTCTCTGTCTTTCTGGTAAGTGCACACGCCCTGTGGCAAAAACCTCTCCAGAAAAAAAGATTAAAAGTCTAAATTCAGGGCCGGCAAGCGGCATGGTGGTTAAAGGCGCTAGACTCCCACATGGCCGACCACGGTTCAAGTCTGATGGTTTGCTTTCTCACTTCCTCTCTATCAAACTGGAAAATAATAATGATAATAATAATAAATAAAGTTAAATAAAATAATTGTTAAAGAAATCTAAAACCATATATAGTAAAATTTCGGGGTCAACAGATGGCGTGGTGATTATGTTGCTGGATTCCCAAGTAATCGACGGCCCCCACTGGGCGCATGTGCATGCGTGCCCAAAATCTGGAGAGGAGAATGGAGGAGAAGGGATTGCAGCCTGGCCATCTCCCCTAGGGGGGTAATTTCTCACTTTCTGTCTCTCCCTGTGTTTCCAGTGAGCACATACACCCTATAGCAAAAACGTCTCTTAATAAATAAATCATTTTAAAACAGAAGAAAAACCAGCGTGTCCCAAGGCCACAGAATTTTAACTAAGAATCTGAGTCTGCTCTAGCTTGCATCCCAGGCCTGATACTGACTCCCTGCTGTGTGACCCTGGGCAAATGCCCTCTCTGAGCCAACGTTTCTGTGGTAAAAGAGGGACGTTAGACGGGAGGAGCCAGGGTCAGACGCCCGGATAGGGGGGACTCACCGGCGGTGGGAGAGCAGGGCAAGTACCGCCAGCAGCAGCAGGATCAGCACGAGGATGAGCGAGAGCGCCAGGATGAGGGGGTCCAGGTCTGGGAGGCGGGCAGGTGGTCAGGGCGCTGGGCTTGTCCCATCTTTCGCTCCAGCCCCTGCTATAACCCCGCCTGGGGCCTCACCGCTAGCCGTCAGCAGTGACGCCGGCTCCGACCAGGCGCTCCAGAAGCCCCCGAAGCTCGGCTCGGCCATCCGCGCGCGCACCGCGAAGGTGTAGCGCGTCTGCGGTCGCAGGTTGCTCAGCACACACTCGGTGCGGCCCTCCAGGATGTCCACCTGGGGGCGGGGCCCGAACGAGGGGCGTGGTTAATATGTCACGGTGGAGCCAATGACAGAAGGGGGCGGCACCCACGGAGGCTTGAAGCCAATCAGCGAGTGCTCCGGTTAGGAGAGAGCGGGACCTAGGCTATATAATGTGGGACAGGTGCGCTTAGAGGGATCCGGACCCTGAAGGGGTCTGGGGTCGTACAGAGGTTGGGGTCCAGGTGGATTGGGGAGGCACTGGGAAAGGCGGCCTGTGAACGGGCGTGGACGTGTCTTGGACATCAGAACAATGGCTTGTGGGACGTCAGGGTTGGGACTTAAAGGGGCGAGGCCTTAGGGACCAGGCGTGGTGACCGTGTGGGCGGGACATCGAGTGGCAGGGCTGGGCTGTCGTCGTTGGGACGTCTGGGCTGGGCGGTACAGGTGGGCCTCACCCTCTGCGCGCCCCCTGCGCTGTTGCCGGCCGAGACGTCCACCTCGTAGCGTATGTGGGTCGCCATGGGTGCCCCAGGTGGCGGGATCCAGCGCAGCACCACGTGGCCACCCTCATCAGCCGGCCGCGCCTGGAGCCCGGCAGGGGGATCCAGAAGCACTGCAGGGGTTTGGGGAAGGGGGAGGGGTCACGTGGGC